TCCAATGCTCTTGTGTAGAATTGGATCTGAATTTTGCGACGTTGTTTACTGCAAACGTTATATCAGGACGTGTAGCCGAAGATAAATAGAGTAAACAACCAATTGCTGACTGATATTTGTGTTTATCAAACATCTCACTGATGTTTTCCATTCCTGAAACTTGCTGAATACTTCAATTTTCTGTTTCAAAGGATAAATCCAAACATATCGAGTTTTATCATCAGTAAACATCAAGAAATATTCTGCACCACCATAGGATTTTACATTTAATTTCCCACAGACGTCACTATGCACTAGAGCAAGAGGATCAGATGCTCTGTTTGCTTTACCACGAGGAAACGAATTACGATGAAGCTTTCCTTTTGCACATTCATTACAGAATTCTAGATTCTTCTTGATGTCAAAATTTAGTCGTTTCACTAAATTTTCATTCACCATTTGTCTCAATCTGTGACCTCCAAGATGACCAAGACGTCGATGCCACAGCATCTCATGAGATGTTCCAATTTCTTCATTCATGACTTTTACGTGTTCAAACTTGCACTCGCAATCCGATACAAACAAACTTCCAGCTTTCTTTGCAATACCAATCACTGTTCCATCTTTGCGAAAAATCTTACATGTCGTATGATCAAAATTGATAGCATTTCCGCATCAGTGACTTTTGCAACACTTATCAAGTTGTAGCTGAGTTGTGATACATACAGTGCATTACGCAATTTACATTCTTGTACCTTTCCATTTTGAAGATTTGTGTTTAAGGTTACAGTACCAATTCCGATTCCACTTAGGATTTTTCCATCTCCAAGGATTACATTCACATGATCTTCTATACTTTGAAAGTCTTCTAATAGATGCTTGTTATTGCACATGTGACTGGTAGCCCCTGAGTCGACAATCCATGTCCCACCAGGAATATTCCCTTCCCAACAGCAAGACTTTGCACAACAAGACCTAAACTCTCAGTTTGACAAGATTTACCTTTTTAAGTTTTCTGATTGCCTTGTTTGTCATGCATTCTTTTTTTTCCTTTTCCTTGGAATAATCCTTACAAAATCGTCGAATATGACCAATCTTTCCCCAGTGATAACATTTTGGCGCTTTCTTCTTTTCTAGTGGTTTATTGTCCTCCCTTTGACATCATCATAACTTTCTCGGAAGTGTTAGACTGCTTATCTCTATCATTTTCCTTTCTCTCTTCGTGCAGCAATCGTTCAAGAACAACTTCCATTGCAGGTACTTCATTGCTTGCTTCTAGTGCTGTTACAAGCACATTGTAGCTCTCTGGAAGACTTGCAAGTAATGTAACAACTTTGTCTTCATCGTCCATCGGCGCTCCAATAACTGCTAACTCATTGAATATCTCCGTCATTTCTTTAATATGACATGACAACAAATTTCCATCGTTCAGCGTCAGATTATTCAATTGTCGCCTCAAGGCAAGCTTGTTCGCCCAATTACGTTTTTGGAATTGATCAGATAGCTTCTTCCAAACAGCCACAGGATGATTTGGATCTCCTAGCAGATATAAAAGTGATGGGCCAATCGAAAGAGCAATGATCGCAAGAGCTTTGTCTCTTCGACTCATAAATTTCGCATATGCTTCTGATTCTTCGTCATCAGGAAACGTTTCTTCATCGGAGACAATACTCCAAAGCCCATCCTTTATCAAAGCCATTCGACACTGAACTTTCCAGGTTACATAATGTGATCCATTTAAAGGAACTATTGTTGCCGTTTTCCATTCGCCCGCCATTTTGTTACTCGAAGAAATTATACCAACTTATTCTTTATTTAACAAACTTCGCTAACGCTGCCTGGGCCCATAACCTGTTGAATATGTCGGTGGATCGCGAATGGTTTAGAACGATTTATTTTATTTAAGAAAATACGAGTTTTACATAAGATAGCTCAACAATAATCAACCTCACTAGAAAAACGTATATAGCACTTTTGTTCATATCACCATATTTGGTATATGGTCAGCAGCTAGCATATTTAATACGAATGCTACTTTAAATAAACACCAACAGACCTGGAGTGGAAAAGGGGCCTGGACCTCGTGGTCAAAAACATGGCGGTAATGGCGGATTTTGGTTGTCAAAAACTTCCACTTTGAGAAAAATTTTTAGCATTCGCTCCCTCCCGAATCCGAATATCTGTTACTGCATATATTGACAACCAGCGAAAACAACCACGATACCGTAAGCATAAAATATTGAAAATAATGCTTCAGGTTTTTGTGAAATAGACACACACATTTAAATGAGGAAAATTTATGGTAAAATAACGTATATTTTGTCAAGTAATGCTTTAGCTATATTAGAAATAAATATCAAACGGCATTCTTTACACTGTCAATGTGTTGTTAAGCTTTAATGCATAATCCCATGCGCAATACTTGTTTTTGACTGTTTGGGAACAGCTTGGTGCAACTGTCTTTCTTGAATAGATGGGTAAATCTTACTTAAATTGTCCAAAAAGAGTTAGAAAAAGTTAGCTTACCCCTACGACTTAAGTCGACTGGAAATATATTATAAGTAGGTATGTAATTTTTTGAGTTTTTTTGGTAGGATTGATTCTGGGTGTCTTATAAGGTATTATAATATTCTGATAAATCTACAGAGAACTTTTGAAGACAATATCTGGAACTAGGAAACAAAAGAACGAAATTCAGAAATTCTATAATCATGTTGCTGGTTCTGTTTTGAGCCAAGATATTAAAAACTAGATTGTCATTGACAACCATGGATCTACTACTGAACAAAAGTACATTAATTTCCCATTGAAAATACAATTTCTTAAATTAAAGTGCATTGGTTTCTCTGACAGAGCACTTTTCTTATTGCTGCATGACGGCAAACCTGTTTAAATAATTATAATCTGGGTGAAGATTATTAGCATGTTGTATAATTGTTATTGTACAGTCATTATTTATGATATTATGGCCTTGTGTAATGTATGTCAAGAAGAACATATTAATTCTCAAAAATGCTAACCTTCTTGCACTACTTTTCTCTTGTGTCCTTACAAATTACTAGTAACTATACTAATTTTTTCTAGGCTCAAATAACTTGACAAACTTTTGAATTTTACATTATGCCTTTGAATTTTTCTTTTTGTCTTTTAATAAAAATATCAGTTAATGACTTAAAAATCAAGTTTTCTATAATAGTATTTTGTACAAAGAAACTATACATAATTGGAAAAGTCTCATGTTGAAGACAGATGTCACTTCTTTTACTAGCTTGCTATTCTTATACTTTAAAATAATATTGTAATTCTTCATAAGACGTAAAGAGTTCTTTGCCATCAATTTTTGCTTCTTCCACATTCAACTTCATTGCAACCAATGCATCTTATGTGAATTTTTAATCACCTGGAATTGAAAAACGTATGGATTTTGTCAGATGATGCAATACTATATTTAATGTTTCATGCATGTCATTATAAGCTTTTCTTGAGCAAAAATTTCAAGGTAGGAGCATAATTTGGCACATTATTGAACAAAGTAGTTTTTATCTTGATTTTGATGTACTAACCTGTTTACTATAACAAACAATTCATTTACAGAAACACCAGATGGCAATTAAAACTGTTAGCATAAAGCAAACTTTTACACACTATCATCATGATTGTCCATAATCTGTCAAATTGTTCAGGCTAGCTGTTTAAGACAGGTATTTTTTATTGTACGACATGTACCAAAGAGTTCATTAATTAATCCTGCACTGCATTTGATTTCAATACAGCTCTTTTCTTGAGAATTTGCTTCATATTTTCAGAAAAATATGAAAAAATCCTCCATTTCTTGGAGGTAAAGTCAGTTGAAACAAGGAGTTTTAAGACATGCATATCTCGATAAGAATTGGTTGCTTTGCCTCGTCCAGCAAGCGATTAAGTAAAGAACAAATAAGACTGGATATACATAACTTAAATTATAACTTAGGAGTAAAAACATTCACAAAATATATACCATCACACTTCAAGTATTGACTTAAAACAAAACACTGAACACTTTAAATGGTAAACAATCTTACGTTGCTTACCGGTGTCATGAAATGTTTCCTTTTCTGGCAATACTTCAGCATCCGTATACCAAACAAGTTTGCAGCATGTTTTAAAAATAAAAATTCTAAAAGTTTTTGTGCTTGGCATTGATATTTTATATAATCGCAATTGTGGTTGTCAAATCCGGGTGGGCGAAAAAAAGTAATTTATGAGCCCGCGTCTTTCCGCTGACTTTGACAACCAAAATCCGCCATGTTTTTGACCACGCGGCCGCACGCTAATAATTTATAGTAATATTGTTGACGTTTCCCCTCGAGGTCTTATAGAAGTCAATGGATGTAGGAAATCTGTTGTCTTTTTTTGATGCAGAAGAAATTAGCAGTTCAATTTGAAAACATCACAACACTGTTAAGACTTATTTTAACATTGCCTGTTTCTTCTGCGCACGACAAAGGGTCATTTAGCTGTTTAAAACGTGTCAAAAAAACCTATTTGCGCATAGCACAATGAGGAAGATCAATTGTCCAACCTTGCATGTATCTCCATCAATCGACAACAAGTTTCGTTTGTTGCACTGAGGGAACTTCAAAAACTATTTTTAAATGCAAAGACCAGGAGAAAAATTTTTAACCTATATGTGACAAATGTATTATCCAACAAAGTTTTCACAGAAACTTTATAGTTACAACTGCTTCTGCTTTGATTTTCTAAATAAACAGTGGCGTAGTTGGTCCCGCTACTCCTGCCCGGCAGGAGTAGAAATTTCCCAAAAAATAATAAATATTCTATTTGAAGATGAGATAAATATTATTTCACAGACAATTTGCAATATTATGTTTTATTCGTTCATTTTCACGCTTTTATTCGGTGGTTCATAATCAAATACCGCAAACTCTCAAGACTTATCTTGTAACCTAGCAATTGCCTTTTCTCGCACATTTCAATGCATTCTCGCGCGATTTCTCCACGTATTCCGCCTATCTTCCGAGGGCGGAACATACAATACAATTCTATATAAGAAGTTTTGAATTCTGGTTGGCTAAGGAACTTGGCGCATGCTCAAATCTCCTGTTTTTTTAGTCGAACTCCCGCTATTTTAAATTGGCGGAGGTTATGATTATTCGACCTTTTAATACGAGTACATCGGTTAGTGATTATCAAGTTACGAGATCAAGTAAATGGTTTGAGCCCGGGAGTATCGTTACATGTTTGTAAATGTAGATCGTCCAGGTTGGTATAGTCCTGAGAATGACTGTTTTTGTTGTTGTTGACTGACGTTTCGAAAACCTTAGCGGTAGTCATCTTCAGAGTCTAAAGGTCGTCGAAACGTCAGTCAACAACAACAAAAACAGTCCTTCTCAGGACTATACCAGCCTAGACGATCTACATTTACAAACAGGTAAATTACGAGATCATTGTCGGTATTAATTTTCTATTGTGTTTGCTCTCAAATTGCTATTTTTCATTTGTAAATGACAAAATGGCTTCAAGTGCGACTGCAATTTGCTCAACTGATGTTGATTTAGCAAATAGCTTATTAGCTAAACCTTTCTTTGCTCGTTCGTCCGTTGAACAAAATGTTATCGTCCATGAACGGCCTACTCCTGATTTAACAATCCAAAATAAGCGACGAGCATTTCAGAGAGATTGGTATGAGGCTAAGGACTGGCTGTGTGGCAGTACAATCTTGCAGAAAGTGTTTTGTTGGCCATGTCTAATGTTTTCCCTGGAAACATCGCCATCATGGATTAAGAATGGCTACAACGATATGCGGAGTATTATGTCTGATGCTAAGAAGTTGAAAAATCTAAATCGCATTTAACTGCTTTTAAGACATGGAAAATGTATGGAGCTAGTGATCGAATTGATTGTCTTATGTCCCTCGCGAGAAGAAATAATATTCAGCGTCACAATGAGGAGGTAACAAAAATCTGGAAATTTTAAAAAGTGTTACTAAGGCAGTGCTGTATTTGTCAAAGCAAGAGTTGCCATTTAGAGGTCACGATGAGTCCGAAGGTAGCTTGAACAAAGGTAATCATGGAGAGTTCTCGATTGTTTTGCTAAATTTGATTCTGTATTTAAGCGTCGCCTACACAGTAGACTAGCAGAATCTTATATACTTGTTGACAGAAGTCATTTATGGAGGTAAGTGTGAACAGAAATGCCACAGCTATATCACAATTTGGATTTGCGATTTTATTTCAATGAAATAAAACGACAGTTTCCTGCAAAAATACCGTCTTTTCCTTGTACATGCACAAATATAAGTAATAAGTGTTGTATGCATTGAAAACTTCAATAAGAGCATTATCTTCCAAAAGTAGTCAACTTTACAAAGAAAAATGTTCAAAGGTGTTTTTCATCTTATTTTAGCAGATTTGTTAGAAATGGTGAAATGATATTTTAGAGTGAATTTAGTGGCTGTATTTAAAGGAAGCATGCGCACAACAGATGAGAATGTATAATTTCTGCACTTACAATTGTTTCTTCAATTCCACGACTGTTTCCAATTGCCATGATTTAAAAGATTCCAAAAAGTAATTGCACCCATTCTCAACTCACACAGAAATTAATGTTAATTACGATAATTCTGAAAAAACTAAAGAAAGGATTTTGTCGGCCTTTCAATATTTTGAATACAATGTGAAATATATGAACACATGTAATGGTCATCAACAAATTGACATATATATTATTTTCAACAAAATGCGGATATTATGTAACTAAACACAAGATGTTTCGTTATCGAAAGACAACTAAGGTTTGACCTAATATATAGGACAAGTAGCAAGGCTTCACGTGCCGTCCCTGATTTCGACTGATTGCTACAACACGCGCAACACTTCCAAACTTCCAGCCCGAGTTTGGATCGCCCTGGCGCGAAAAGATATGATGATGATGATGACCTAATATATCCTCAATATGCAAACATGACAGCAAAATGATATTTATTTGTTGCATGCGTATTTTTTTCTTTGCTCCTGGCTCATAGCAACGGTAAATGCTAAGGGATGGAGACTCATGGAGTTTTCCTATGGTCTCAGCTGCCAGTCTTAATACCCCCTAATAAAAAAGTATCTTTGGTTCAGATATGTTAATCAAAATATTTACAAATACAATATCATGCAGCTCGTTATATTGCAAATCATGCAGCTCGCGAATGATGCCGTTTGTTGTGAGCTGCCCGCCTAATGGGTTAGACTATAGTGGTGTAGAACACATGTCAACCCTATCGAGTGGCGTAGCCAAGTTACATTGAAGCGTTAGGTCATACTGCCTGGTGCTGATAATGGGAAGATTGGGAAATTTTGAATGTACCAGCCAAATATAATATGAACAAATTTTGTTGAAATATATGTTATTTGCTATAGCATTATTAGCTGGGATTTTTTACAATCAAGCATATTTTTTTTAACAATGAATGTCTCATGAGCTTTCACAGAAGTATAAGTCTTGAATTACAGAGTCTACAGATATAGACATTGGAATATATAATTTTGGACATCAGGAGAAACATAAGTAACTATGCCTATTTGTTTAATTGGTGAAATCTTGAAGAATATGTTCAACAGATACAACGAAATATACATTGTAAACGTATTAACATAACAATGACGCAAATATAAACAGTTTAGTTTTATTCCACGCAAATGTTTTGCGTAAAATGCAGTGAAAACATGCAAATTTTGTCAGAGTTATAAATTGGTGATAAATATTTAAATTACAAAGAGTTTTATGACAAATATTTGCATCGAATTACCACATTAAGAGAAACGACATGGCCAATAAAATCAACGATTCTCTATCTTAATGCCACACAATCAATCTGTAGCTTCAAAGCTCCTATGTAGTTCTTTCTGATTAGAAGCTTCAAGTATTCTGTCTTCCATTTAGATGACGAAATACTGGCTATTCATATGCGCTCGTCATAGTCGTTTGTAAAGAGCTTTGCCACAGCAATATCTTCATGACGAACGCTCTTTACCAATTTATGCAATTGCCTGAGCATCTTAATATCCATACAGAAACAATTAGAAAATCTTGCTTTCACGCTTTGTAGCAATACAATGTAAGTAATAAATATGGAATAACTTCGACCAGCGTGAGGAACGTCATACATTCATGCCAAAGAAGAGCATGACTTAAGCGTGAATTCCGTAGAGGCAAGTGACGTACGCGTTAAGGTCAATGATAAGCTCCAAATTATTATGGAAGTCATGCTCCCAAATTTAGAGCATTCACTTGGAGAGGACTTTGAACGCTCATAGCTCATGCTCATAAAATACATTTATGTAAACTAAGCAAATTATTTCGCGGGCATTAATTCGCATATTTTATTCGCAATTAATTCGCACATTTATTCGCAATTATTTCCCCGGCATTAAATCGCATAAAATAGATAATTTGGCGTCTTTATCTACAAACGTCAGTTTTCAAACAAACTAAAAGCTTTGAAAATTTTTGGTCATGCTAAAATGACCCTTTAGCCACCCCATTGAACCTATCATGTGCTCAAGTTAAGACAGCCCACATGACAAAAGCGCAGATGAAATAATGATAAAGTTAGAAGGTGTTAATTATGGTCTAAGCTTCTATTGAGAATACATTGAATTCGACTTTGGTGCAACATGATATTAGAAAAAATTGAAACTAAATGGGACAGATGAAAAGTAACTGGTGAGAGGAAATAGAATGTAGTTTTTAACTTAATCTGATACGTTTACTCGTGTTTTAAGTGAACATATCAAATTTGCCAGAATTATGTTTGGCATTTAAAATCGCATATGAGTTGGTTGACCTTCACGAAACTTAAACCTGTTTTTAACATCGAACTTTAAATGTGCAAAATGAGACAAAAATGAGATAAAATTGATCATTGTTTGTTGTCTTATAGGTATTCGGCTCATATAAAGTTCGACGTTTTAAATAGGCTTTAGTTATTTAACTTGGCAAATGACATGATGTTTTAACAAATCCCCTTCCAACAAACTAGCTCATTTTAAATAATGCATACACTAATACAGTTTTATAGAGCATTTCTGCCATATTTTTGTACAAATATTGAATAAAAACAGTATGCAGCAATTTTGGCCAGGGGCCTGTGATAACAAGCATGCAAGTTTAGACTTGCATGCTAAACTGATGTATTTTTCAGATCATTAAAATCATGTCAATTTGCAAAAATAGAAGTATGGTATACACTTGACCAAACTATACAAATTTAGCTTAACGACCTCCATGAGGAGTGTACTACTACTAAACTACAACATTAAATTATAGCAACCATTTGCTTTATTCCTTCCACCCATTGTTCTTCACTTACTCTAACCCAGGGTTTTATGACATCAATAATTAGTTAATTCTCATTTGATATAAATACTCAGTTCTTCCGAAGTATATATTTTTGGGGGTGATTATATACCAAAATATTTACAAAGTGTATTTAAACTAGCTGGCTGACTATGCTACATTATTTCCCACAAGCTGAGTTCATTTTTGTATTTGACTGTATGAATTAGACATAATTTCTTATATAAATATAAATATTGGAATATAAACTACATAAGTGTTATTTTTTCAATTTTAAAAAGAATTTAAATGTTCTGAAATAGAATTTTGACTTTTAGACGAGTACGTGTTTTTTGTTTGATTACCATTGGCATGAAGAATGGCTTTTAATCTAACTTAAATTTTTAGACCTTATACATAAAAGAAAGCGATCGAGGAAACATTCAAAACTTTGAACACTTCTTCTTCTAAAAAAGAAAAAGTTGCTTGTGCATTGTCATCCAGTTGAAATAAAAAAAGGCACACTATCTCAAAAAGTCCCAACAAAAACTCGGGAATCCCAAGAACATATATTGTGACGTGGGAAAGATCTTGAAGTTTGCCATTCTAAACATTCTACAAAAAGAGTCTTTCGCAAATTATCAAATTCCGAGCTATTTATAAATTACAAAAGCGAATCAGAAGATGGAATCCCTTCTCCAATCATAAAGAACGTTTTTACATTATCACCATTTCACAAGGATAAATTAAAACTCTACTAGGCTCCGTATTACTCCTGCACGCTCTCATTTGTTTATAGATCCAAATGCAATTCAACATCAGAATTTACTTCTATCAAAAACGCTTAATTCAAGTGTGCCAGACAAAACTTGTCTACAATTAACAAAGATTCGTTATCCCAGTTCTAGCCTCAATTTCTATAGAAATATAAGAGAGCCCAAGATAAAAGATGATAATTATGAGAAATCAAAAAATTTACAAAATAACTTACATAAAAAGCAAAATTTTGAAGATGGAGTAATGACTTTCCTGATGACAAAACCGTTTGAAGAACGGTTTCCCTCTTTTATCAAAGCTTTTCGTCCAAATTCTGGGGGTGAGACAAATTTGTTGTTAAATTGTTTGCGTGAAGACAGTTTGCCGAAAAATAACGTTAGTTGTGTTTCAAATGAAGGGAAATACTCAAACAATAATTTTTTAATGGCTCGCGAAAAAAAAGTCTTGCAGCTAAAAAGAAGTTGCAAGAGCAGGAGCTAGCTTTGAAAGAGTTACGTATGCATGGAGTTTTTATAAGAGTATATTTATGGTAATTCATCATGGAAATCGCTTAAGAGGTATGAGACATATTGATCAAAACTGTTCGTCGTGCTTGTAAACGTCGCTGATTTTATTCTGCATTTTTCAGTAAACTTGTTTGATCTAACAAAATAATTATAGTTGTAAAAACGGTGCTTTAAAAACTCATAGTTATATCACATAAAATGGTGACAAAATTCCCAACATTTTCCCACCTGTTTCACTTATGCTGAAACAAATTTATTTATCATGAATATAAATTACATTATTTTAGCATGTAAGCAAAAAAGGGAATAAATTCTCCTCAATTTCTCTGTAGTTTAGCAATTTTTTTCTTGGCAAGTTTTTTTCTATGTTATAAAGTGCATCAAAAGGCATTGATTTCCTTTTATTGCATTTGAAAAAAGAATATATACGAAATATATTCAAATTATGCATAGACATAAGGGATATGGACTACTACAAATAGAAATCGGCATATTTACTTGTTAATCCTCTGTATCAGTGTTCTCAACTACAGTAGAGCAGAGGAATTAGATTAATGCAAACATTTCCATGTAAATGAAGCCATTAAGTCTCAAATATTCATAAAGTTTTAAAAGAAAAAATCTTAAAGGGCCTTAAAAATCGATTTCAAGAGCTATTAAAGATTTCAACTTAACTGATATTTGCTTTAATTTCTTCCAAGAAAAAGGAAAGTTGTATCACACTCTTATATATATTCATCACATACATAATATTCCTTATAATACTGAAGATGGCATCATAAGATGTTGAAACGTATATATTTTAAAAACACGTGTCATTTTTATTAAATGCACATTATCAATAGTGCTTTTACGCAGTTCAGGGCAATGCCTCCCAGCCTAGCATTGTGTTGCTTGTCCTTTGTAGGAAAATTATGTTCGTCGGAAAGTTGTCGGAAGCTACGTCAGAAAACTTTGAAGAACAGTTAAGCATGTATGTGAAACTGACTAATTAGATAGATTTAGACTTGAGGACGCGATGACTAAGACGACGCTAGTTGACCGAGGCGGTCTGGGCCGACGACGCCGTCGTCTTTTATGTGAAGAGTGATTTAGATTATATGAGGAGACGACGAGTTTTTATGAAAAGAGAACTTCATTGTTTATGCGATTTTAGTGAGTCATTTAGGATTTGTTTCTATTGTCGCCGATAATTCAAGAGATTATGGAGGAAAACAACACTTTAGTAGATAATAATTGTTGGTTTGTTATCCATAGTACTGCTAACTCATGGCATTTGAATAAGATTTCCAATGATAAATTGTGAGTTATAGATTGCTTCATGTTGATTGTACTAAATATAGCGCAAGTATTGACAAAACATCATAAAAATAGCGCACAAAACACGACACGCTTCAATAAAATGTAGGTGTTCTTTTTTAAAAGCTGCTTTCTCTAGTTTGGATTATAATTTAACGACGACATTGTAAATATAAAGAAAAATTTATCTAAAACAAAATAAAAACGAAATTATTTATCTTGTTGATTGTTTACATGAACAACAAAACATGCATACATTATGCATCTTATTATTTCGGTAAAATTGAATGTAAAAACTCACAAGTTTTAGCTGAATTGCTTCAATACTAAACTATCATTACACACAAGTCATTAATTTCCATAGACTTACATTTTAAAATGAGAAAAAAAGTAGAAAACAAAGACGTCTTCGAGAGGACGTGAAAACAGCAATTTTCACGTCGTGAAAAACACTTAGACGACGTCGCAAAAGCAGCGGAAGTAAAGCAACCGGATGTTTACGACAGATTATGCAATACGATTGTCATCTTAGACTTCGCGTCCCCGAATCTAAATCTGTTTGATAAAATAATTTCAATTATTTTCATGGTTCTGACGTCCTTCAACCTTACAATCTTCTAAATTTCATGTTTATGACCATAGTAGAGCGTATGAAATATGTGGAAGCAATTTACGTAAGCAGGTTTACTTTTGGTCAAAGTTGCACGGGCCCAAATCTTGCGCCATAGTCATGTATGCACGCACGAAAGCATAAATATATACCAATTGAAAACCAAAAAAAGTAAGAAGACCATCACAGACGCAGAAGCTTTAGAACGAAAACTAACGTCATTTGAAACAATTTTTACAGCACATGTTTTCAACGAGTTATTTGCTATAACCAATCCCGCCTCTCTTTATCTTCAGTCAGAGAAAATTGACTTACTTATTCTTTCTGATTTTTCATTGCTTGATCCGGAAATGTTTCAGGATATCAATACTGACAAAGTGTTACCAGCGGCAGATGTTTTTCAAAATGTCGCTGAAAATTATAGTCTTGACGACAAAAAACTGAGAGACGAGTATTTAAAATAAAGATTTTTCGTGATGACAAAACTGAAAATAGTTCTAAAGATAGCAAATACCATAATGAATGGTAAAAAAATATATAATAAGTTGATAGTTCTTAAAAGAACTGTTTTAAGTAAAAGCACTAACCCAGTAGTTCTCAATTAAGCGACACGATGCATTTCGGCAGACTACTCCTCAGGTGTCAACGTCTGCTAAATGAAAATTTACAATATACCGATATTTATAATGCCAAGAAAGAGTGTACGTCATCTCCAAAAGGGAGATGACGCTCAAAACAGGGATAAATTAAAAACATAATGCTTTGTCGGCAGACGCCTGACGAATTAAAACAGCCTCCATGACGCGTAACTGAAAGAATGAATACATTTTTTAATTATTCTAAAATTGTCGTCTGAATAAGAATCAGCACAATGGGGATTATTCAAGAGATGTTTACCTATCGCGGAGACACATGAAACTAAATTACTTTTCTTACAATCACGTTTTGGTTGTTGTCTTGAGGGGACCGTTCCATTTCGGATTGAAATTGGTACATGCTGTTTGATCCTATCACCCAGCCTTTGAGACGTTTTACCTACATACCAAGCATCACACTGACATTTATATTCATAAATTACATTGCTTAAAAGTTGTGCCTGTAGAGATTCTTTTGTGGTGGGTGGTAGAATAGTTCTTTTCGAAAATATAAAGATAACATTGCTCACAAAACAAATTCTCCGTAATATTCTTAGTTTCCTTTCAATATCATCGGAAACTTTACCCATCCATTGTAAACCATCGAAATCTGTGATAATAATCTTTTTCACTCGGACATGGCTGTACCGCACATTTCCGAGGAGGCTTTTAGAGATTAATGTTAGCGGTCACTAGAGGAGTTGAGTTTAGTTTTAATGATGTCATGTACAAACAAATTGCTGGGGTGGCTATGGGTTCTCTTCTTGGACCAATAGTTCATAAAATTTTCGTAGGCTGTTATGAGTGTAAGATGTTTGCCTCTTCTTGGCCTCCATAAGTGCTGTGGTACAACCGTTACGTTGACGACACCTTTTCCCTTTTTCGTAACGAGAAAAAGCGCTAATTATTTTTCCCTTTTTCGTAACGAGAAAAAGCGCTAATTATTTTTCCCTTTTTCGTAACGACAAAATCGCCAATTGTTATTTTTTGAAATATATATGATAAAGATATGACATAATTATAACCATTAAGTTGCATAACACTCAATGTATTTTACAGTTTGAAGTTATACATCTACAGTGAGTCATCATCAATCTCAGTACCCGATATTCACATAAACACAAACTTTATGATCATCGCATTTTACATGTTTGTGAATTGACATTTCATCGAGTGTCAGAACACTGAACACACACAGCCTTACCTTCTTGCCATCTTTCTTTGGTTTTTGAAGTTTAATTTTAAAGCATTCAGTGCATCCTTAGTGAATCCTTGTTCTCATAAATTGAATTTTACCATGATCAAGTTAAATAATTCTGGATAGGTAAGACAATGCATCATGTGTCTTTTCAACCTTATCGTTTTTTCGTAAGACTCGTCTTGCCTTGTCAATAACATCTTCCTGTTATCTTTGCTACCTGATCTTTCCTGCATAGTGTTAGCATATAGAACATAACAAACTCCGCTCCAAATCATGTGTAATACTATTTATGCTGATCGTTTCTTTTTGTTATCTACCCAATGATTAAAATGAGCTGAGTATTTTTTTGCGTTAGGAAACTTTTTGCAAATAGATTTGTAAATTTACGATATTGATGCATTAACAAATGACAGAAAAGTATGATGAGTTTTATAAAAAAAAAACAGGAAAACATCAGCATATTTGGAGTTGAGGTCAGTCTTTAAAAAATACGGTCTTACGGGTTTTATGGCTTTTTATATGTATAATTGCTTTTCAATCTTTGATCAACAAATAAAGCAAGCAAATATCTCACCTGCGAGAATGGAGATGCTCTTTTTTGTGGAAACTACGACATCCAACAGTTGAACAACTGAAGTATTGGCATTAAAAAGAAATCCTAAAAAATATCGTTTTTATTACTTTATATAATGACTATAGACACCAGGGGAAGCCGTAAATGTTTTTTCAACCAAGCAGTCATTTCAGCGGAAAAGGTCAATTGGCTGCCATTTTTCGACAACCTCGTCCCAATGCACTTAGGCCGTTCAGCTATTATAGAACTCAATGGCATGAGCTCATACATGACATGAATGTTAATGAATTCGAAGCTATGAAATACTTGTCTTTCGGTTTAAGTCAATAGCAATCGATGCAGAATTGTCGGCAATGAGTATTATAGTCGTATAAAAGTATTAATAAGAAAATATAAATGAAAAAATAAGCAAGGAAACCACACCCTCGTCAGTTAGCTTAAAATCGTGATAGTGTATGTTTGCTGTTCATACGGAAGTAAACATGCGTTGATTTACCGGTTGACTGAACGACATATCTGGTAAGTATTTGAAAGACAAATGATGGAAGATATAGTGACTAGTCTCAACATAAAGGTTTTCCTTGAAAATGAGAAAAATTGATTGTCAAACTTTCTGTATAATATCTAATGTTATATTATTGATATGGTTTGTTTTGTTCATATGATAATGAAGACACAATATTAATTACGAAAGTAAACATCGCGGGTATCGTGAATAAAAGACGTATAATGTTCCTCACACAACGTTTAAACGACAACTTGTTGAAAAAAATAGTGTTAATTTAAAGCACATGGTTTTCATTCAAAATATCATAAATTTATCGTTGAAATTCGTAAGTTTCAACCCCACATTTAAATTATTTAATATGACTTTTTTACACAGTAAATGTTTTTCGCCCGAATATCACTGACGGTTTTCCGAGCATGTGCCCTCATCTCATCTGAACATTTAAACTATATAAGAAGGAATGTTTTTTAAGCAGTGCAGTGTTTGAAATTAAATGTAGATATGATCTTCGCACTTTGTTGGACAATTTAAAGGGGTAGTCTGACCTTAACACAACTTTTGCTCATATGAAAGTATATATTGTTCTTACCTCTCTCGCGAAATCCTAGGTTTCCAATTCAAATTTAACTCGAGAAATACTGCCTTAAATGTGTGTATTTTTCGATCGCCATTGTGTACATGCAAGCGAAGCCGCAGTCCAGCAGCGGTTTTTCGTCGTGACGTCACTGCGCTTCTGGTAAGTATTTGAAAGACAAATGATGGAAGATATAGTGACTAGTCTCAACATAAAGGTTTTCCTTGAAAATGAGAAAAATTGATTGTCAAACTTTCTGTATAATATCTAATGTTATATTATTGATATGGTTTGTTTTGTTCACCATGCGGTGATCGTTGTCAACATAAGACAATATACTAGAAATTACGCATAAGCATATTCATCGTTATATTTTCTAAGTTTTAAATTATTGCAATGGATACGGATTACTCAAACGAAGTAATTATTCTGAAGCAGTGTTTCAAACTTCGAAGAAATGATTAACGATCAAAACATGATTCAACCATATGCTTATGAGCCGATTGAAACAGACTAGCGACAGCCTATGGACGACTCGACGAAGTTCAGCTGTTGTAACGATATGAAGACTCAGCACAATTTGAATAGACACTTACTGCAGATAATTTTTATGCTTTGTTATTGGGTATTACGACTGGCATGGAGTGAGAAACAATGGTTCAAGAGCTGAAGAAGGACCTGAACAGAAAGACAAAGACATGTGGACAGGCAACTGGTTCGATTGTTGGAATGTATTTGCAAGGTAAACCAAATCTTAATTGTTGATTATCCAATCACCAGGTCTAGAAGAGGACTTTGTCTTTGAGGGTTTTAAATTGCTGATGAATAATAATGGTAATGTAAACTATTATAGCCATATTTATAAGTATCGTTAATGATGAATTACTAATAAATAAAAATATAAATTGGATTTAGTAAATGAACAATAAATACAAATTAAAATATAATTCTTTATTTGTGCTATGCAAGGATTTTGGTGTACATAATTTGTGCCTTTGCTAATGAATTTGCATAGCAAAACAAAAATTTTGCTACTTTACTATTAGAGTCTTATTATTAATTATAAATATTGATATATACATAACTTTTTTGGGGACTGTTTACCCATTCTTGA